TATGAGTGTGGTGAGGAGGTTGGAAGGGTAGCTCCAAGCCCCAGAGACAGCCCCAGGCTTCTCTGCCTGGAGAATCAGTGGCTCAGCCTCTTTTCAATATCTAAATCCTCCCTCCTATCCCAACTTATCAAGTTTCACAGTTTACTTCCTGCTTAGAAGGTTCCCAAATCAACTATTTTTAACTTCATTAACAAGCATTCTCCTTATCCCCAATATACATAGCTCTTTCTCCCAAAGAGAAAGCCAAGACAGTAAGAATGGTGAGGAGAATGGATAACTTCTAGGCTGGGTTCTAACCTGATCTCCTCATCAACTTTAAGAGTAGAGAGGCTGGGAAAGGAGACAGAGCTGAGGAATCTGGTCAAGTCTTTGGGGGGCAAAGTCTAAAGGAGACTGAGTTCTTTTCTCTTCCAAACTTCATCATGCTTCCCAACCTTTCCTTGAGATAGGGGAGAGGAACATTCTAAGGTGAATCCCTTTTGAAGAGAAGTAAGCCTCCCACTTCTCCCAAGCCGAGTTCTGAGCTCCATCTCCTAGAATCAACTCAGTTTTGCATGCCTGGTCCTCAGATCAGCCTCCTGTTCAGCTAAATGGCCTAGGGATCACCAGGGCATAGCCCAAGGGAAGAATCAGGTAAGAGAATAATTAACCCAAGTACAGGGGGTAGGGAAAGAAGGGAAAGTAATGCCCAGATAGACAAATCCTTTTATCCTCCTCAGGGTGAACTAGGCACAGAACTTCTGTACCAAACTGCCCCAGAGGGCAGGAATTCAGAGGTTTGGTTTCCCCAACACTGTCCTGGGCCTGGGCCACAGCTGGCAAGGGATGGGGGCTCCAGCTGCAGTGTCTGCTATGTTCTGGAGCCCCAGCCGCTCTGTGGTGCCAGAGCAGCAGGGAGGGGCCCTGGGAAGGAACCATCCTGGCTAACAGCTGTTCTTCCTCCCTTCTCCATCCTGGCTGAAGGGAGGAAAGAGGTATCACGGGCGTGAGCTGACAAGCTCCGGCTGGTCTGTTAAGGGTGAAGAGGCCCATCCTGGCAGCAAACCCCTTGGACTGTCCCTCCTACCCTGGATGGGAAAAGAGTGGGTTTCTGCCCAGAGGGGAGGACATGCTGAATTAGAAAGTCAGTGTGGGGTCCTCAGAGACGCCTAAACCAGAGTAGACATGGAAAGCCAGCAGCTGGATAGCTCAGGAATATGGAAGGGCGGTTAGGAGGAAGGGAGGGGGACAAGATCTGGACACTAGAACTACTCACAGGGGCACAAGGAGGGAGAGTGTAAGGGAGTGAGAGGTAAGGGGGAAAAGGCAGGACTTCATGCCTACCCCAGGAAGCTGACAAGACCCTAATCCTACCCTCCAAGTTACTAAGAGCTGGAGGAATAAGGAAGAAGGAAGCCCCTGTTACCCTCAAATTACCAGATTCAAGCCCAGCTTCAGAATAAGCCATGGGCCTATGCTGTTCTTCTCTCATGCCTCAGCCCCAATCTCAATGACAGGGGAAGAGGAAAAGCCACGCTGAGGGCCATGGAGGAAGAAGGGCAAGTCAATTTCCCAGATCATGCAGAAAGGGACCACAGAAGGAAGGAGTGGGAATCTGCTCACAGGGTGAGGGGATAACAGGAGCAGGAAGAAGGAGGGGAGATGGGAAGGCAGTATGGGTCTGATTATGGGGTAGCCCCCCTGCCCCCAGTGGAGGAAGCTAGAGATACACAAACAGGAAGCCACAAGGCCTGGGCGGGAGGAGGGTGTGCTGGGGTGGAGAAGGAAGGGGGGGCAAGAGGAGGTCAGGCGGGGGGCTGTTGCTATGGGTTTTGTATACTAAACATAGTACAAGGGGCTAGATAGGGGCTCCAGGCAGGGCACAAAGACAATTCTTCCCAAACAGAGAAAGAGTGAGAAGGCTCTGAGAACAGTCTGAAAGAGGTGGCAACACCACCTTGTGCAGCATTTATTAGCTAGGGTCACCTTACAACAAGCATGGCCCCCAGGCCAGTCAGCTGTGGGAAAGAATATTAGAACTCAGGTTCTTCTGGGAGTGGGAGCTAAGTTCAGGGCTAGTAGCAATATGTACAAAAGAAAATTCCCAGAGGAATAAATGAGGTCAGGATCTAGCCCTGAGGGAACAGGAAGGCAGAGGCAGGATGGGAGTGAGGGGGAAGGAAGACAAAGAGGACTTGTAGGTTCTGGGGTCTAGAGGGCCCTCCAGATTTTGCTCCACCCCAACATCTCCACTCCCTTCCCATTCATCAGAAGACAGGAATGGGAAACTAGTCAAGACTGTATGTACAAGGGAGTTGGGAGGGAAAATCCATAATGCCCCTCCTACACACAAATCCCACCACTACCTTTTCCAGCTAGGAACCAGTAAGTCAAAGAATCAAGAAGCATTTGTGTGTTGTGTACCTGTTGTGTACCAGGCAATGCACGGTGCACCCCTAGTCCAATTTCCAGATGGGTACTTCTCCAGATAGGTAGTACGAATAGGGAGATGGGAACTATTTCAGCCTCTCAGACTAAGATACTCACAACCAGCTTCATTCCCACCCCAATCCCAAATCTAAATCAGTAGCCCCAGCCTAAGGATCTGTTGTTAGCCTCTATACTCTTCCATTCCCATCTCTATTGCAGAAGTGCTAATCTCGCTATAGCCTAGTACGTCCCGCCCCTTGCCTTCCCTAATCCTTACCTTCTCCCCCCCCCCCCCCCCCCCCAACCACACCCTGGCCGTTACTGAGAGATGACTCACCCGCCGCCAGGGTGACGCAGTGGTCTGGGCAGCCAGCCCGCCCAACAGCCACGGCCAGAGGCTTTCCCAGCAGCAGGGGGCATGGGGGTGGGAAAGGGGCAGACCCCCTCCCCCCAATCCAAGGCCACAGGAGCCAGACAAGTCAGACTGCAGCCAGGGCTCCTCAGTATGGAAGGAACCCCCTCCCCCCGCATCCCCCAATAACACTGGAGGGATGGGATCAAAGTGCTGGCCCTACTCTTAATACGAAAAAACAATAAGGTTACTGAGGCAACCCAGGTATTAACCCAGTCCTAATCCCAGTGCCTCTGGGGAATGGAGCCCCGGCACCGGGACGTTCCTGTTGGGAGGCCCGAAATCAGGCTGTACCAGGCTCCAGAGAAAAGTTGGCAAGAAGAAAGTCGGCCAAGAGTTTGGAGAACGGAGGACAGCACTCCTCCACACGCGTGCCACGAATAGAGAAGTGAGAAGTGCATCAGGGGAAAACCTAAGTGCCTGAGGTCAAGGAAAGCCCAGGGGGCAGTCTCAACAAGGGCACTAACAGTCAGGCAAGGGCGAGTCACCAGTACTTACACTGGGTCCCTTCCCGTACCAGCCCCTCACCTTCCCCCTACTCCCTTCTCAAAGTCGCGGCGAGCGCTTCGCCCAGGTCTCTCCTGTTGCCCGGGGAGAGGGGCACGGACCCCAAGTTCCCCGGATAAGCGAAGGCCGAGCGCAGTGCACAAAGCAAGAACCGCCGCCCCTGCCCCACCTGCCCAGCTAGCCTAGCGCAGAGTCAATCCAGGGACGGGCGGGGCGGCACGGGGCACGGAGCGGACCCTGAGTCCTGCTCTCAGTGACCCACGGCGCAGCCACCCGAGGCTGCCCATGCTGCCCAGTTCTGCCCCCCCTCCTCCGTCCTCCCTGCCCTCCGCGGCTCACCTTTACCGCGAGGCGGTGGATGGAGAGCGGAGCGGGCTGGGGCGCGGCGCGCAGTGAGTGGCACTGGGCTTCCCGAGGCGGGGGTTTTCAGGCAGATCCCGCCTTGGCCAAGGGGCGGGCCTGGGGCGGGACGACGGGCGAGGATTTAAAGGCACAGGGCAGAGAACGCACCGGGGAGCTATGGTGAGTTTTAGGGTTCCTGGGAGGTACTCGCTTCAGATTCCGTTGGCAACCCCAAAGATTTGGGGCTAACTGGGAAACTTCGGAGTTGAGTGCTGAAATACTGGGTATGACAAGTCCTGCCACCGCTTATGCATACATATCGATAAGTAGAATAGATGAGGAAACTGAGGCACACTCCAAGACAACTCTCTCTTCCTCTTCCCCTCCATTATGCCCAATGGGAATAGAAATAAGTTCTGATTGGGAAGAGGATCATAAAATCATGGACTTTGAAATGATAAGGAAATCTAGTCCGGACAACAGAGGTCATTGAAATCAGAGAAGTGAATTGCTCAAGGTAGTGGCAATCAGGACCGAAGTCCAGGGCCTTTGATTTCAAAGTTAGTGTGTCCCCTTCTGCAAAAAGCTTTTTTTCCCGTCCCCCTTAATATTAGTGCCTTCCTTCCGAGGTTCTGTCCTATTTATCCTGTATGTATCTTGTTTGCACATGGTTATCTTGATGTAATCTCTCCTATTATTAGACTGTGAGCTCCTTGAAGACAGGGGCTGTTTTTGCCCTTGTACTCCGAACCTTTTAGCACAGTGCCTGGTACTCGCTAAGTGCTTAATAAATGCTTGTTGATTTTATTTCTGCATTACCCCAACTCTTGGCTCTTCAGGCCAAGGAGGCGATCTTAGTCTGTTTGCTTGGCCTGCCCTGCCCTGCCACCTTCTTCAAGCCTGGACAGGTGGTAACAGAGTGAGGTCACTCCTCCCTGGGGCCCCAGAGGCAGGGGTAGGGTTGGCTTCTGGGAGCTCAGGGCTGACTCTCCTCTCCCACTTTCCATCACCACTTTTTTTTCATCTCAGTTCTTACTCCTTAGCACGTCTGCAGGATGGAGGAGGGTGGGTTGTGGCAAGGAGGTCTCCTCAAAGGGGACTCAGAAGGGACTCAGCCTTCTCAGGTAAGGCTGGAGCTGAAAGTGAAAGAGACAGCCATTGCTGGGACAGAAGCTCCTTCATGGATCACCCTGTCAGCGAAGCTTTGGGTCTGGCCCCTTGCTGGAGAGGGACTTGTGTTCCACCTTGGGGGATTCCCATCCCAGCCATTCACGGTCCTATTCCCTTCCCCACCTCTCCTTCAGCTTCAAAGTCAGGCACGACACACAAGTAGAGTATTCTCAGTCTCTCTTTAATTGCCTGTAAAAACTTTCCCCATGCCTCACTCACACAGAACGGGCAAGGGCAGACCCTGAGATCTCTGTAGCTATCTCCTCTCTCTCTGCCCTGGGGGGAGGAGAGGCCCTTCTAGGGGAACCCAATTCAACCTAAGGAAGATAGTGTTACCCACATCCTTCCCCCGACCCAGCCAGTGTCTGTGCCTAGGAACCAGCGGGGGGGAGGGGCGGTATTATCAATGCCCCCAGTACCCCTGCAGGTGGCCCTGCTCAACCCTGCCCACAGGTCCTTGTCCCATCCGCACTGAGCATTCATAGCAATGTGGCTTGCTCAGGGTGGCTGATGGGGTCCCGGCGAGCAGGCAGTCGTGCCCGGGTAGCATCACGGCGACGTCGGAAGGCCAAGAATTCCTCCCGGAGGGCAGCACAGCGTTCCTCTGGCCCAGGGGGGTGGGCAGCACCCCATGTGCATTCCTCTGGTTCCTGGGAGCCTTTGAGAGCATGAAGCAGGGGAGTGAGAGATGGAAGGATTTTTAAGCAACAGATTTAGAGGACACAAAAGCTTCAGGGCATAAGCTGAGGGAGGGACGTGGAAGAGAGAGTGAATGCCTAAGCTAACCTCCCTTGTGAGAGTAAGACAGGGAATATCCTATTATCCCAGAACAGAGAGACTAGAGGTACAACTGCACACTAAACTTTGGCTGAGGAGGGCAGAGAACAAGAAGGCCTCAAGCTGAATCCAGGGCTGAAGAGGTAGGAGGAGAAAGTCATGGAGCAGACAGATGCCCAGGGAGCTGAGCTAGGAAGGCTGAAGAGGCTGGGACCTGACCCTCTGCCCCGGTGTCTCACACACCTAGTCTCAGTTCAGGCTGGCCCCGGGGGCCACCACCCCTCGGCCCCAGCGGCAGCGATTCGAGCAGTTCCAGGTCCCCAGGAAGCTCAGAGTCCCACTCGTAGTTTTCATCCACTGAAGTGTCCCTCCTGTAGGCATATGATTGTGCACGTGTTGGTTACTAGGCAGAAAAGTTCAGGACAGTATGTGCCCCCTCCCCTGGAAATGCCTATGGAAGGTAACCTCCGCCTCAGAGGAATGCCCACAATTGGGGATTAAGCACTACTTCAGAGGAACTTAAGAAGGGGGTGAATCAAGTTTCTGGTAAAAGGAAGGAATAGTGAGGACAAAGAGAAAAAGGAGGGCAACAGAAAAGGGAGAGGGGACCAGGGATTGGGACCGTGGGTTGGGAGAGACCATCCTCACCTCTTACTGACAGTCAGCACGTGTTCTCTCCGAGGCCACCTTTCCAGACCAATTCCTCCACTGGCCCAACTGCTAGTGTCCCCTGAGGGGGGACTGAGGTAGCTGCCCCCAAGAGAGGGGGCCAGTGAGGGTGGGCGAAAAAAGGAGGCACTGCCCCTTCCACTGCTCTGGCTGGTGAGGCTACCTCTGGGCACGGCGGGGGGAGGCCCAGGCAGCCCCTTCTCCCGAAGTGTCCAGTCTGCCAAAGCAGTGTAGGATGAATCAGAGCCTGGCCCGCTGACCCTGCTCTCAGGCAGAACTGCCTTCGGGAGGCCTAATGGGGAGCCCAGAGGTCGAGAGAGCATTGTCTCAGGGCCTGGCAGGGTATCCACGTAGTCAAGAGGTGGGGCAGGACTGGGTTCTTCAGTGGGGGGCCAGTCCCCATCAACGTTCATCTCCCGGAAAAAGGGCAGACTCAAATACTGAAGCAGGGGCCCCGGGGCTGGCAGGGGGCTGGGTGGTGGGCCCACAGGACTGATGTCAGCAATGTAAAGGGGCTGGGCCACTCCACTGGGACTGCTGTTGCTACAGTCACGTGAGTGAGCCTGATGATGGCCTGTGCTTTGGGGCTCATCTTGGATCTGGGTCAGTGAAACCTGGGGGGCCCCAGCACCTGGTCCCATCACAAATCGCCCATCGGGGCCTCGGCAGATTGGTTCCAGGGGCAGTGGGCTAGGCAGGAGCTGGGCAGGAGGACTGGGGAGCTGGCTGGTCTCTCCCCACAGCAGGCTTTGTCGAAGGCTGAGAGATGGTGACTCCTGAAGTTTCAGCTTCACCACACTGTCAGGGCTGCTCGAGCCTGGAGCAGAACTGGGGAGGGGCAGGGCATCAGTGCACACATCAGGAGGGGACAAAACACGATTCTAACCACCCAGGGGCCAGAGATGGGAGATGGGAGATTTGGAATAGGCTAAGACAATGCTGAGGAGATGAAGGCAGGAGGCAAAGCCAGTGTCTACACAGGGGTTCTTAACCATTTTTGTCATAAGCCTCTGTGGCAGTCTGGTGAAGCCTGTGGAGCCCGGCTCAGAATAATGTGCAAAATAAAACACAGATTGCAAAGGGAACAAATTCTATAGGAATGATTATAATTTTAAGTTCATGGACTCCAAGTTAAGAACCCCTGGTCTAAAGGAAAGAGAGGACTAGCCTAGGGAGAGTGGTAAGCCTGGGCCCTGACTGGCACAATGACCCTGGCCTGTGGGAAGGATAAAGGTGGAGCTTCCCTTCCTCAGGCCCCTCCCCAAATCTGATCAGCTTCAAACTCCAGCCCCAGTCAAGCCCCACCCACCCCCAAGGCCCTACAGACTGCTTTCCCCACCTAAGGTGAAGGAGAATAAAGGAGGTAGCAGAGCCCAAGGCACAGCAGGGTCAAAGGACTAGGGAATGGAAGAACTTACTTGGGAGGTGACTTCCTTGGGGGGGAGAAGATGAGTGGTAGATCTGGAAGGGTGTGAGAACAGGGGGATGATGATAGCAATGGAGAGAGGACTCTGGTCTTTTGTTTACTCCATGCTCCAGGCCCTGGGACATGCTCCTCCTACCCACCCCATGAAGTCCCCAGCCCCAACATGGGAAGCTCCAAAGTCCTCTAGAGGGAGTGGGGAGGAAAAGGGGCTGGGGCAGGGCTCTATGATGGGGCATGGCACAGGACGTGAGGAGAAAGAGGTTGTTCACATCAGTAAGTATGGACATGGAGTAGGCCATGGGTGGGGCCTAAAGGCAGAATGGGAATTGTACTAGGGGAAACAAGCTAGGAGAATAGGAGCTGTGCTCGGGCTTGGAAGTTGAGCTGAGGGTGAGGCTTGGCAGGAGCTGGGGCCAAATAGGTAGAGGAGCCTTTCTGGGGATGAAGAAGAGGGCCTAGGTGAGAGAATAGGTGAGGCTGGGGTATATCCTCCCTCAGTTGGGGTGCAGATGAGAAGCTGGGGTCTAGGTGGGCTGCAGAACCTAGGTAGCAGTAGCACAGGGCCTACCTCGGTGGCGTTTGCGGAGTCTGGCAGCCCGACGTCTGTTCATGGCACAGGCAGCCACTGTGCTGATGAGAATGGCTACACTCAGGAAGCAGACGCCACCTACCACACCAGCCAGCACAGGCTGGGGCAGCAGGCCAGGAAGCTGTGTTCGGGAAGGGTACACCTCCATGCCTGAGTGTGGAGGTAATGAGAGGAGAAGTCAACATGGCGGAGCTGAGGCCAACAGAATGACCCCAAAGACTCTGAGGGCCCACTATTCCCAAAGGTGACAAGGTTCCACTTCTCCTTCAACCCCAGCACAGACCCACCCCAGGCCTCACCAGCTGTGGAGATGTTGGCCACGTTGCTGGGGTCACTGATGTAGCTGCCAGCAAAAGCCACGAGGCGAAACTCATAGAAGGAATCCTAAGTTGGGGCAAGAGGGTCAGAGAAGGGGAGGGGCACAGGGGACAGTTCAGTGTCTCATATAGAGCAGGCACAAAATAAAATGTCTTTTTGAAGGTGATGGGGAGAAGGCACCAGTGAATAAGAAGCAGAAGAGTCACCTGGGAAATGATGTCAAAGGCCATAGGAGGAAAACCCCAAAGAAAACTAATCCTCACCTACCACCTTCCCATCCTGGAGAAACCACTCTAGGGCCCATTCTCCCAACTGGTGACTCCCTAGCCCAGACCTTCCCAAAGGGGCCCAGCCATGCCCACTTCACTGCAGACCTGCTCTCTCTCTGATTGCTCCACCCACTTGGCTGCCCACTTGCCTCCCATGACCCTCTCCTCTAGCCCTCCCCATTCCTAGCTCCCCTTTACAAACAGAGATTGTCTTATTTGTTTACATTTGTATTCCTAGCATTTATCAGTGCCTGGAACTTAATGAGTGCTTAAATGAGCTCACTCATGTGCTTGCGCAAGCACACTCTCTCTCTCTCTCTCTCTCTCTCTCTCTCTCTCTCTCTCTCTCTCTCTCTCTCACACACACACACACACACACACACTCTCTCTCTCTCTCTCTCTCTCTCTCTCTCTCTCTCTCTCTCTCTACCTCCCTCCCCACCCCCTGCCCACCAGCCTTTCTCTCCTACCTTGATGAGCCCAGGCACCAGCAGCTGAGTGTCAGCTCCACTGATGGCCCTGTCCAGCACCTCCCAGCCATGGGAGCCATGCCGCCCTTCCAGGGCATAACTGGCCAAAGTTTCAGGAGCCAGCAAGGGAGGCTCCCAGTGCAGCAGCACACCCCTCGGGGTCCTCACTGCCATGAGTCCTCGGGGTGGGGACAGGGGTAGTTGGGATTCCGTAGCGTGTGACATAGGGACAGCCTGGGTGGTTGCGAGCCCTGCTAGGAGCAGCAGATACTCAGGACAGAGGTTGCTTCACTTCTCTCAAACTCTTCTACATCCTCAGTCCTCCAATTCATCTATTCCCCTTCTCACAACACCTACCTCTCTACCTGATTGGAGTCCTTCCACAATTCCCAAACACCTATTCTCTTTTCTGAATCAACATTCCACTTCCTAGGTCTTTCTAACATTTTTTTGTTTTGTTTTGTTTTTTTGAGGCACTTGGGGTTAAATGACTCGCCCAGGGTCACACAGCTAGTAAGTATCCAAGGATTTGAACTCAGACCCTCCTGACTCCAGGACCAGTGCTCTATCCAGTGCCCTACCTAGCTGCCCTAGTCCCCTAACATTTAACCTCCATGTTTTTGTAAACCATGTAAGTCTACAACACCCCTCTCCAATCTTCCCCTCTATAACTGACTCCTATACCCAAGCTCCCAAACACCTCTCTCTCCTTTTTCAATTCCTCATTCCTGTCCCCACCCAAGACCCTCTCAAACCCCTCCCATATCTCTGCCCCAGCTTTATCTTTATAACTCTTAGGATGAGTAGTCTCACCATCAGGAGAAGACAAGATGATCTCACTGAAAGGGCCACTCCCTAGTTTGTTCTGGGCCAGGACACTGAATTGGTAGCTGGTATGGGGTTGCAGACCTGCTACCACTAGGTGGGCAGCACCTGCAGGCACTGGCAGGGATATCCAGTCATGGTGGGCACGGTCGGGACGCTTGGCCCTGTGGATATTGAGGGCAAGGAGGCTAATGAACTGGGGAGGTTTGGAGAATGGAGGAGTGACACAATTTGGTTTCCTGAAAGTATTGTCCAGAATTTTCTGAGATTTGGGGGAGAAAAATTGGGACATGTGTGTGGCAGGACCAGGAGAACCCTTGAGTCCCAGGACAAACAAGTAGTCTAAGTCTTCCTGTCCCCTCAGTCACTCCTTCTGTATTCGTCCTCCAGTTCCATGGGTGCTGACTCCTAATCTCATTTAGCTGGGAACTGAGACTAACCCATCAGAGGAACCCAAAGCCCAGAACTGATCCAGATCAAGCTGTATTCAAACTTTTATTTATGTAGGTTATGTCTATTGATATTTACCATATTAAAAGCTAAAACATCTTAGTATTATTACAAAAATAGTTTTGACCTTGTGGACCCTCTGAAAGAGTCCCTGGACCACATTCTGAGAACTGCTGTTATAGACATACAGCCATTGGATCAGAGAGATAAGAGATTTTGGGAAGAGTCTAGGAAGGGAGTGGAGAAAGGACAAGAAGGAGGACAATTAAGGGATTAAGGTGTTTAAGGAAAAGAGAAAGGCCTCAAGGAAGTGACCAGGAAGAAGCGGAGGGTAAAGGAATACTCACAGAGGAGTATACCACACACTGAATCTCTGCAGGTAGCCACCATCAAAACCAGGCTCCCAGGAGACATTGGCCCCCTCAGGTAAGGACAGCACAGACACATTGGTGACAGCATGGGGACTGGTACCTTGTTAGGGAGATGGAAGTAGGGTAGGGTTAGGGTTAGGGGATTGGGAAGGAGATAGGGCAGGGTCTTGGTGGAGGCCCGAGTCCTCTATCCTGAGGCCCTTCTATGTCTGAGCCCCCTTCCATATCCTCAAAACCTTGTGCCTCTGGAGCCAAACCCCCACATCCAGATTCCCCATCTGTCCCACCCATGCTCCCTGTCCTGGACACTGACCTAACACGTAGACGTTAGTTGTGGTTGCCACACGAGCCACAACATTGCTGGCACTGCACTCCCAGCGCCCGTGGGCTTCCTTGCTCAGTGGCCGCAGGACCAGGCTGCTATTGCTATCCACCTGGGCCTCACCCCGTAGGCCTCGGTCCACCTGCAGAAGAACCATCTGTCACTCCTAACAACAAAGACTACCATACCCTTTACCCAAGGTATCCCTCATCCTCCCTGACACTACTCCACTCCATGACTGAGAATGGGATCCTGGAATTCCCTGCCTCCTCCTCAGAAGAGGCATTTGGGTTCTTTCTTCCCACTAGATGCCTGGGGATGAAAGGGTAGGAGTTAAATGAATGCTGAGTACTATGGGGCCCGGGTCTGGGTGTCTCACCTTAGACCAGGTGATAGCGGGGGTGGGGTCCCCATGGGCTGAGCAAGGGATGAGCAATTCTCTCCCCACCTCCTGGAAGTACTCTTTCTTTGGTTGTTCAATGAAAGCTGGAGGAGCCTGAAATGTAGATCGAAGTTTGAAGGATAGAAGGACAGGGTGGGGGCTCCAGTAGTACCCCATCTCCTACCCCAGGGGGCCATCTCCAGTCATCCTGAGCTATTTCTTGCCACTGGACCCAGATGGCTCCAGAGGAGAAAATGAGGCTGGTGACTTTGCACAGCCTTCCTCACTTAAATCCACTTCACCTGCATGTCATGGCATCACCTCCCTGATGTCATGATCCCCTTCAAGAACGAAGGACAAACAACAACAAACACCAGTCTTCTACCCCAACTCATTCTTAACATGCATGTCTATCTTATGTGTCTGAGGGTCAGCCTCTCCCACCACTTAGCTCTCTCATTTTCCCTGTTCCTCTCCTACTTGCTCTTCTGATTATTCTGACTCTCCATGACTTCAGCTGAGGTGGCAGGAAATATGGGAAGGTAAGTTATTTCTAGGCAGGTAGATGACTCCCTGTGATAGATAGTCAACAGAGGGGATTGAATCGCTATACAAGAGAGTGAATCGCTTGCATCAGGTTGGGAGGATCAGGAGGAAACAGATCTCCAATTCTTATTTTGGTGACCTTAGAGCCAGCTTCCTACTCCAGAAATCCAGATGGGCAGGGAGAATGGCTTGCATCACCCTTCCTACCTCTGCCAGACTGATTTACCTCATCTATAAATCAAGTCATGTCATGACTCTGCTCAGAATTCTTTAGTGACTCCCTACATACAAAGGAAAGTTCACTAATCTGAGTCTGGCATTCAAGTTTCTCCACAATCTAGGACCACTCAGCTGGTGGTGAAGTGGACAGAATGCTGGGCCTTAAGACCCGAGTTTAAATCTGGCCTCACACACTTACTAGCTGTATCATCCTGGGCAAGTTACCTAACTTCTTAGGTTTGCCTCAGTTTCCTCAACTGTAAAGTGAGAATAATATTATCATCTACCCTGCAAGGGTTATTGTAAGGATCAAATGAGGTAAAAATTTTAAAGCACTTAGCACAGTGCCTAGCACAAAGTACGTGCGATAGTACCTCTTCCTCCCCATACACTCTAAGTTGGCCTACTCTCTGTCCCCAAATATACTTTGTATTTTCTCACCTCCTTGTTTTTGCTCATTATGTTCCCAATTCCTGAATGTCCTGATTTCCTTCCAACTGTTCAATTTCTACCATCTTTTGAAGCCAAGACTACCATCTTCCTTTTGGGGAGGGGATATTTAATTTTTGTCTTTGTATAAGATGTATACATTCACATTCAGTAAATGCATGTTCAACTGAAAGGCTGTTAAACTGAAGTGAATTAAAGCTATCACCACGAAAGTCCCCCAGAGCCCTCCTGCCAGCACAAGCCTCCTGCCTTAAACCACATACAGCACTTTATTCTGCAGCACTCTAACGTAGTTATGCATCACTGTGTATTTAGTGCTGCAGACTTCATTCTCCTATTAGATCATAAACTCCATGAAGGCAAGGAAGATCCCTTTTGAAGTTGTGCCTCTTTAAAGTGTCTAGTACAGTGCTCTGCACAGAATGGACACTGTTCCTATCCCTCCCCTCCCTTTATCCCCCCCGATTGTGTTGACGCTAACTAACACTGGGAGTTAGCATTAACTCGGCTTAACTGAGCCATGCTTCAGGATAAGAAGAGTCTGGGGGCCAGTCATGGACAGAAGAGGCCCAGGACCTTCACTTACCTTGAGCAGCACGCGGGTTGGGGAAGAGGGCCCAGCGGTGCCATGGCTGTTGTAGGGAGTACAGGTATATTCTCCTAAGGCATCCTCATTCCCCAGGGCAATGACCAATGAGCCATCTAAAGCCTGAGACCAGCCTGGGAACTGAAGATGGGACCAAAGGAATCATAGAACGTCAGAGATAGAAGGAGATGTTACAAGTCATTGAGTCTACACCCCCTTCCATTTTTAGAGATGAGGAAACAAAGGCCCCAAGTCCCCCACCCCACCCCAAACCTCCTCCTGATCCTACCTGGCTTCCATTGAGACCTTTCTCCCCTCCCCCAAGCCAGTACCTTGTCCAGCTGCAGGGCCTGGCCATCTTTGGTCCAGTTGACAAAGAGTAGAGGGGGATTGGCACGGGTGGGACATCGTATCACTCCCTGCATGCCCACAGGCAAGGGTGTCTCTGGGGGCATTGTTGTCACCTGGGCAGGGTCTGAAGGGAAGCAGGTAATAAAGAGAGACAAAAGACATATGGGCCAGAGGATCCTATGCCGCGAGGGGTGGTGGGAGAGAAAGGGTAGGGATTGGAGGCTGCCGATGTGAGGCAAGTGATAATGAACTGGTAGTGATAAGAAAAAGCTTTGAAAGGGCAGGCTAGAACCACAGGGGACAGAGATCTCTGAGCTAAGAGAAGGTCTTACACAGCACAGTGAGGTAGGCAGATGCTGAGGGTGGGTGGCGAAGGCCATTGCTTGGCACACAGGTGTAGCGTCCAGCATCATCAGGCTGGGTAGCCTGCAGCCAGAGGCTCCCATCCACCAGGATCCTAACTCGGGGTTGCAGGCGGCTGCAATGCAATATGTGTGGAGAGTATGTAAAGAAGTCCTGAAGGAGGTAGGGGAATATGCACTTGTAGCTGGATCCCAGACCACCCTCCATGAGTTTTCTTCTCATGTGAGTTTCTTCCCACCTATACTTTGGAATCCAAGCAGGGACAGGTGGCAGAAGGAAAAAAAAAAATCCCCATTCTTTACCTCTGGTAAACAAGGGAAATAAAAGGGACATCTATATCCTGTCCAGGAAAATGAGTGAGTGGGGTGGGGTGGTAAATCTGGGGATTAGCAGCAGCCAAGAGAGAGGGGCCACTATACTATGAGCTCTGAGGTGTGGAGAAAAAAGAAAAGGGTTGTGCAGGGAGACCTGGTTCTCCAGTTTGATTGTACTGGCCCTCCCTGGCTTATTTGGGATCATTTTCATACAGAGGTTATTAGGGCCCCTGTCCCACCCAGAAGGGGCTGCCCTCCATTCATCTCCTCTCCCCACCCCAAATTTCCCTTCTGTTTCCCTTCTGGGCAGACAGAACTAATGGAAAGCAGTTCCCTTAGTCCTCCCTGGGTCCCACCTGATGTGGAAGACATTGGTGCTTCCCTGGTACCAGCTGTAGGTGAGGTTGGCAGGGTGAGCCTGAGCCTGGCAGGCCAAGGAGGCATCCTGGGAGGCATTAACTGTGCTATTTTCGGGGGGTACCACAATGACTGGAGGTCCTGTGGGGGAAGCACATCAAAGGGGACTCTACCATACTCCTCTCAGAACCACAGAAAAGAGAACTCTCTGCCTAGTCCTTTCCTCATCTCCGTCTCCATCCCCTTTTCATCAGGGAGAAGGCAGAAGGGAGGTTGGATGGTAAAGGGCATTGCTCAACCAACACACAAGCACAGCTCCTAGTATCCTCAGAATGATCAATGAGAGGCTCCCATCAAGCCATACATGAACCCAGGGCTACAGTCTAGGCTTTTTCCTAACCCCCAGACTACCAACTTCGGGGTCATCTTTGACCCTTCCCTCTTCTTCTTTAGATGGCCATTCTAAGTCTTCTTGTTTCTTCCTTCAAAATGTCTTTCAGATTCTCCTTTTATTTTCTATTCCTACTTCCCTTGTTCTCATCACTTTATTCCAAGATTACTTCAGAAGCCTTCTAGATGGTCTGGCTACAGTCTCTCCTTCACCCTCAATCCTCATGCAGAGCTTTAAACTCTTTTTCTCTCTTCCCTCCTCAAGAATGTACCATGGCTCCCATATTCCTTATGAGCATAGGAGTTAAAGGTAGAAGAAACTTTAGAGATTATAAGACTCAATTCAACAAACATTCATAAAGTATGCACTATGTTCTAAGCACTGTGCTAGGTGCTAGAATTCTGGGCTTTGATCTAAAAGAAATCTAGGCTATCTAGTCCAATCCTTTTGTTTTATAGAATGAGGAAACCAAAACCCTGAAAGATTGAATGACTGGCCCATGGTCACACAGGTAGCAAAGCTGGGGTCTCAAGTCCTCTAGTTACAAACCCATGGAGATTTCTATTTCATCAAAATGTGTCCTAGATACCTCCTAGTTCATCTAGTGCAACCTCACTTTACATATAAAGAAACTGAGGCCAAGAGAGGGTAGATATTTCTATGGCATCAAGCCTGAACACCTCCACTGGGTTCTCAAGTAGAAAGCTAAGAAGTACTGTGATTACAGTGCTGGATTAAGAGTCCAGAAGTCCTGAGTTTGAATCCTAGCTGTGTGACCATGGGTAAGTCATTTAACCTTTTCTCAGCCTCAGTTTCCTCATCTGTTAAAAAAAAAAAGGTGATAATAATAGTGCCTGCTTCCTAGGGTTGTTGTGAGGTTCAGATAAGATAACATATGTAAAGTGCTCTGTAAACCTTAAAGCACTATAAAAATGCTAGCTACTATTATAATTTTTCAAGACATTCCATAAAATAAATCACAGGATCTTAGCAGTGGAGGGGATTTCAGAGACCATCTAATCAAATCTATACCTGATCAAAAAACCTTTATGAGGCAGCTAGGTAGAGTCAGGAAGACTTGAGTTCAAATCCAGCCTTAGACACCTACTAGCTACATGACCATGAGCAAGTCATGTAACCTCTGTCTGTCTCAGTTTTCTCAACTGCAAAACGGGAATAATGGTACCTACCTTGCAGCCTTGTTTCAAGAATCAAACGAGATATGTGTAAAGTGCTTAGCACAATGCCTGGCACATGGCAGGTATTTAGTAAATCCTTCCTTGCAAAACAATGCAGAAAAGTAGTCATCTGATCTATGGAACCAGCCTCATTCCTTCTCCTAATACACAACTCCACTCTGCTCCAATTTGGTCTTTCTGTTATCTCCCTGTACACAAAATGTTCATTCATTCATTCATGTTTTTGCCCATGCTGTTCTGCCTACTTGAAATTTCTTACCTCCTCCTCTTCTCCACCTCCAACCCATTCTCCAATTCTCAGATAAAGTCCTACCACTTCCATGAAGTCATCCTTCCTCCTGAGAAGTCCTGATGCACTTATGGCCAATGCTTTCCCATTCTAAGACTTGGCTCTGGAATGCCTTTATTGTTTTAGTACTCTCCAGTTTGATTGCAAGTTACTTAAGGGCACGGTACTTGCATGTGCCCTGGATCTGGAGCCAGAGAACCCAGCTTTGTTACTGTCTGAGTGACCTTAGGACCTTATTTAACTTCCCTGGGACTTGTTTCTTCTTCTATAAAATGAAAAGCTGAGACAAGATGATCTCAAAGGTCCCTCCAGCTCTAAACCCTGTCATCCTGGGCTGTTAACGTCTTTGTTTCTTCTACAACAAATTTAACATGATTGGGAACATAGCTGAAGCTCAGTAATTATTTGTAGATTGTTTGATGCCCCTGGAACCAAGATGCAGTTTTTAGGCTAATAGCTCTGCCCAAGAAGTTCCTCTTCACAAGCCTTGGGCTTCAGACACCAGCTCTGCGGTCCTCTTACTTCTCCATTCTTAACATCATATTTAATTCAAATTTAAAGAATTTGCTCAGGGCAGCTAGGTGGCGCAGTGGATAGAGCACCAGCCCTGAAGTCAGCAGAACCTGAGTTCAAATCCAATCTCCAGACACATAACACTTACTAGCTGTGTGACTCTGGGCAAGTCAGTTAACCCCAATTGCCTCACAAAAAAAAAAAATTTGCTCACTATGTGCAAAGTACTGTACTAAACATTGGCAATACAAAAACCAAAAGGAAAATATTACTGCCCTCAAGCAATTCCTGGTCTACAGGGGGAAACAACACCTGTAAAGAGTTAAGTAAATACAAGTTAATTTGGGGATGGAGAAAACATTAACAACTGAGGGAATCAAGAAAAGAGAGAAATTGGGGTTAGATCTATAGATGTAGGGTAGAGATGCACCTTCCTGGAAATAACAATGGAACCCAGGGGTTCTTAACCTTTTATGGGTCATGGAGTCCTTTGGCTGTCTGGTAAAACCTGTGCACCCCTTTTCAGAACAGTGTTTTTAAATGTATAAACTGATCCATAGAAAACCAATTATACTGAAATATAGTTATAAGAATATTTTTAAAATAGGTTCATGGACCCCAGGTTAAGAACCAATGAAAACCTGTGATATTACAAAGGGAGAGATATGTACATAGGGAGTTAAAGATGCATGATTAGCCAGCAAGGAAGATTGAGGATGAGCAGAGAGCCATGGCAGTGCAGGGTCAAGCGAGCAAAGAGAGGAGAGAGTATCCAGGAGGGGGTGGTCAAGAGTATCAAAAGTAGATCAAAGTAGATCAAAGTACACAAAAATATACAAAGAAGTCATAGAGAATGAATGAGAACTGGAAAAAAAGGCTATTAGACAATAGTTTCAAGATCAATGATAATCTTTGAGAGAACAGTTTCAAGTAGGGGGTCAAAAGTGGTACTGAGAAGAGGGGTGGGGACAGGAAGACAAGTGGAGTAGAGATGACTTATTCTGGCTATGAAAGGGAAAAGAGATACAGGATGGTAACTTGGCAAGATGGCAGAGCTAGATGAAAGTTTTGAAAGGATGTGGGAGACCTTGGCATGTTAATAGGCATCAGGAAAAGAGCCATTATATAGGGAGGGATTGAAGATGGTGGCAGCAGAAGAAGAGCTAAGAAGAGCTAAGCTTCTGAGAGGCAGGAGAGGAACGGATCAGGACACAGAAGAGTTCAGCCCCTTCTCTCCCCAGCCCCCATTGTCCTTCCTATGGAAGTAAATGGCCTTGGTTTCCCAGTCCTTTCCCCTCCCTCTCCCAGCTCCTACCACATATCATCTCTTTCCCTTCCTTTCCTCTCCCCTTTGTCCCTGGGCACTCTCAACCCTACTACTTACCATGTACCAGCAGGTGGGTAGCATGTGTGGTACTGCCCTCAGTGCTGGAAGCATGGCATGTATAGATTCCAGCACTGGACTGCTCCACTCTTCCAATCCTAAGGGTTCCATTCTGGGCTGAAAGGGGGGGGGGGGGGGGGGGGG